AAAAAATATATATAACATTGATTTCTTATATGTCTTGTTGTTTGCTTGTAAAATGACAATCGTGACAAATACATAAATGCTATATTATATTGTTCACTTTAATACTATATTATATAATCTTTCATTTACTCTTGACATATTAACGAAGGAATGACAGTTTAATGTTGCTAAAACATGTCGTGACTAATACACAAAAGAATGCAATTTTCTCATACCAAATATCTACCCTTGTGTTTGAATAAATATTGCATATGTTGCCTCAAGTATGTGAGACGGAAGGCATGCAACATGTGTTCGGAATATGTTGTCACATGACATGTTGTAACGGTGTATTAGTGATGAGTAGATTGTTGGTGGCATAATCAATATTATTCTATTATTAAATTTACTATCATTACTTTAGCATCATCACGACGATCATAATTTTCGTCATTAAGACTAGACAATAAAACGCAAAAAAAAAAAATAAAAAATAAATAAATAAAAAAGAGATAGATAGAAAGAAGAAAAAAAACGTAAACAAGCAAACAAAAAAAAGGGCACAAACTAAACAAAACAATTATCAAAAACAACAACGCGACCCATTTTTTTTCTCAAATAGTTTTCACATCTTTTTCTGTTTTTCTTCTTCTTTTTTTTTCTTTTTCTTTTTTTTCTTTTTTTAAATTCCTCAAAATCCAACGATCTTTCCCGCGCGAAAGGACACAACAGGAACGGGACACCTCAGAGGCCACAATCCCACAGAGATATAAACAATTCCCGCCCTTAATGCATAATTCATGGCCGCTCATACGTTCGCTTGTTCCCCCCTCCCCCATCCTCCTCCCTCCCTCCCCCTCCCCTCTCCCTCCCCTCTCCCTCTCTCCCCCTCCCCTCCTCCCTTTTCTCACAACTTCGGGTTTTAATGCAACTTTTACGGGAAATACGCCCATGTATCGTTGTGTACGTGATGTCGGGTTCAAAAAGCTTTGTGGTGGGCGAGTATCGGTGACGGATGAATGGTTGTTAGGTTAGTGAATGGTCGTTAGGTTTGAGTATTGTGACGGATGAATGGGCGCTGGTGGGCTGAGTATGGTGAATGGTCGTTAGGGTGGGTGAGTATCGTGACGGTGAATGGTCGGTTAGTGAATGGTCGTTAGGGGTGAGTATGACGGGATGAATCTGGTTGTTAGGTTAGTGAATGGTCGTTAGTTGGGTGAGTTATCGGTGACGGAATGAATGTTTGTTAGTTAGTGAATGGTCGTTAGGTTGGCGTGAGTATCGGTGACGGATGATGGTTGTTAGGTTGGGTGAGTATTGTGACGGATGAAATATGGTGTTAGAATTAGTGAATGGTCGATTAGGGTTGGGTGAGGTATCGGTGTGGATTGAATGGTTGTTAGGTAGTGAAAGGCTCGTTAGGTTGGTGAGTATCTGAAGGTTATGAATGGTTGTTAGGGTGGTGAGTATTGTGACGGATGAATGGGGTGAGGTTTGTGAATGGTCGTTAGGTGGGTGAGTATCGGTGACGCTTGAATGGTCGTTAGGTTAGTGAAATGGTCGTTAGGTTGGTGTGAGTATCGGTGACGGATGAATGGTTGTTAGGTTGGGTGAGTATCGGTGACGGATGAATGGTGTTAGGTTAGTGAATGGTCGTTAGGTTGGGTGAGTCGGTGACGGGTGAATGGTCGTTAGGTAGGAATGGTCGTTAGGTTAGTGTTGGG